GCATGGCTTGTTGTTTCAGTTGGTGTGTTCAAATAGCTGGAGTTCAAACTTTCTCTCCAGACTAGTGTGAAGAGGGTTTCTTTAATCAGCTCTTCCGCAATCGTGCACTTTATTTACATAAACGTAGTGTAGAAAAAGTAAAATAATGCTGTAAACTAGTGGTGCTACAATCTCATACACTCTAGAATACTTAAAAACGTTTGAAATTTTTCAGCATTCAGAGAGCACAATAAAAAAATAACTGTCCCCATTCTCAAGCATCCCTTGCTCTAACCTAATAAAGTAGTAGTGCTACAACAGCACGTACTTTCTCGCAATATTGTGAATGGTTTTCTAATATTATAATTAACAATTTGTCTTACACTTCAATTACCACTTGAAAAATTCAACAAACGAAGCGTGAAGAATACGTATATTTTTTAAAATTCAGATGCTTAAACGAAAATAGTTTTTCCCCATTGTATTCAGTGTACTTACGTTCTACGTAAATGTACCGATGCACGATGCGTATTTTTGCCATAAAATTATTAGTTTCTATTAAAGCAAACGAAAGGCAGCCGTCATTATTGCCATCTGTTATCAGTACGGCGTTTCAACAATGAATTGCAACTAGCAACAATGATCGAGAAGTCGTATGGGATAAACTTTTTGCTAATCAGCATTGTTGATACCGCAAGCAAATATTATAATAATTAAAAATATATTTTTATATTCAAAATTATTCGGTTTTTACATGCATTACGCTTATTCTTATATCTTATTAATCAAAGCAAAATCATTTCACATTTAACTCAATTAAATGACGCAATTTAAAATAGGTTTGAGATAATTTCTAAAAGATTAATTTTGAAACGTATAGCAAACGCTCGAATGTAAGGAACGAACAAAGAATTGTGAAATAATATACTAATAATTTTAACTCACGTAACATCCAATTGCCAAGAATCACCATTTATTTGACGTGCACGAAGCGCAGTAAATTCGAAACGGGCAACTAAGTTTGACAAATTAAGAACAAATACTCAATTTTTTTTAAATTTAACATGACCTTATTTCAAGATCTGTTTTTGATGAACACGTTTGAATGAAAAAATTGTATATTCACAATTGTAGTGGTAGGAACTCGCCAAACAATTTTTAATTTTTAATTTAAAAAAAATGGTCGATGTCCAGACCTTGCTCTTCAAATTCATTTATTTGCGTGCTCTTCAAAATTTGAAACTTCTGGAGATCGAACGTTGATTTCTCCGATTCAATTGTAGTTGTTAGAAGACTTCAATCACATTTTTTTTTTCAATTTTCGACAATTATGGGCTTTTAACGAACAATAGACCTACACCATTCTCTTAAACGTCCTCTACACTATCAAATAACAAAATTTAATCAATGTTGGAGCCATTAGTTTGAATATTTTTAAAACGCCCCAGGAGCTTTATGTAAAGTATTCCCAAAGTTAAAATATAGGTTCCATGACCAAGGGATTGCGACATTAGCTACATCGATTGGAGAATATCAATTTCCAAGAAAATCGACTGAACGGTTTAGTCGTTAGCGTTGTCAAAAGACGGGCAGACGTTTTGCTTTCAATCGATTTTCCTCTATCGAGGACCCAAGAAACATAGATTCTGGCTACACCACGTGTTATAGTATGTTTTTCCTAAATTTAACATCTGCACTTATCCAGTTTTTTGTTGTCAACACTGTAATAAGTGATTTTCAGCTAAAAATTCGGTGCTTTTTCGGGCAGCATTACATAACATTCTTTCATACCGCGTCTTCCAATACCAAACTAGTTTTCCAATATCAAAATGCCGTCTACACGAGGTAATGGGGGTACACGAAGAATGAAAACCTTAGTTTTTACTTTTACGCCCTAGAATTCTTCCTAAGAAGAGAAAGTAATGTAATCCTGCGCCAAATATGGCCGAAATTTTGCCTAAAAACTTATTGTTGGGTTCTGGTAACGAAACATTTATAAATTGTGTTGCTAAATTTAGAAAAAATATCCTGTAACTCGTGGTGTACCCAGAATCCACGTATTGTTTGATCTTCATATCGCAAACAGTCTGTTTCGTCAACGCTGGCTCCTGAACAGATTTTCATCCGATTCTTTCCGAAGCCTATTTGTTTCCTGCCGATTTTCTTCAAAATTTATATTGCTCAGTCAGTCTAAATGAACCCCACGTTTTGGGTGTTTCAAACGGATATTTCGATTTTTGAGGGTACTTCACACGAAGCCTCAAAATCATTTTCAAAGTGTTCCCAAAAGGACTCAAAATTTGTTGATTACATTTTGTTGTTGAATAGTGCAATGTACGTTTAAGAGAATGGTTTAGATCTCATTTTCGTTGGCATCACCGATTTTTGAAAATTATTAAAAAGTTTTAAAACTATATAATTGAAGATAAAAAGTTTGCCTCACACAAAGTACGTTGAACAAAAAAGAGTTCTTAAGATATATAAGTTGAGAAAATGAGTAGTATTTACGGAATTTGCGCTTGAAATTATCGCAATTTTTTGCTCAAAACTCTATAGAAATATTTCGTTTAAAGTTTCTTCCATTTTTTAATAAAGGGCGGTAAATAATATGGTGCTCGTCACAATTTCGAATATTGCTTGGTTTCTCGAAAATTGCAACAAGAGTTTTAAAATTATAAAATTGTGGGTAAATATTTTTGTTTTAGACAAAGTGTGTTGGACAAAATTAACTCTTTAAAAACTTTATGTACATTTTTCTGAAAAATGCTCGAAAATATTTCTTTAAAATTTCTCCACGTATGTTATAAGAGACTGAAAAAATATGGTGCCAGTCTCATTATCGGCTTACGTTCCATTTTTTCAAAAAAGCCATAAGACCGTAAACAATTTAAAAGAACAAAATTGGAGATAGCTAGTGAAAATGTAGTGAATAAGTATTTGGAAAAATTAGCTGATTTTTCTTAAATAGTGTCCGAAAGTTATGCTATTTCTAAAATTACTTTCTGAAAACCCAAACGAAATATTTTCATATAAGTTTCTCCTCGAATTTAATAGTTTATAATAAAATAAATAAATAAATAAATGAATCAAAATATATAAATAAATAAATAAATCAAAATATATAAATAAATTAAAATATACAAATAAATTAAAATAAATAAAGAAAACTAGCAGAGTAATAGAATGGCACAGAATTCCTGTAGTAGTTTTCTAATCTCTTCATTCGCCCAAAAGACGTTTTCACATTTTCTCACTTTTTCGATTTCCTAATGCTGGAACTAAAAACCACCATACGCCTATTACTATTATATAAGTGCAAAATTCGTGCACTACCCGGGGGGCGAGGTGGTTAATTGGTGGTAAATTTCCCTTTTAATGCTATTGCCAGAGTTCTACCATGCAGCGCTTTTGTGGCGTAGTGGTAAGAGAGCCGGCGCGTTAACTTTTAGAAAAATAAATTTGCGGCTTGAAGACACTTTTGCTGGTTTACGTAGTAAAATAATGTTGCGTAACATTTAGAAACAAAGTATGTGCGTTGGCAGCACCAGTCGTTTTTTAATAAATTACACCCAATAGCAACAAAACAACTTATAATGTGGATAAATGTAAGGTCCAAGTTCAAGACAAACTTGTCTCACATAAATAATCTCATGTGTACTTAAATCATACATGAGGAAAGTGTTCCCCTCTACTTGATATTCAGCGCCAACCTGTTTTCTAGCGCACGTATTTCCTGTTGTTTTAGGGGTAGGGTCTCTCATTTGCGATGTGCCCCGTAAACTCGGTTTCCACACTATCGGGCGGGTCTGTCCTTCGAGAAAGCGGTTGTGACAGTTGGTCCAAAAGCGTGGACTGTACGGTTTAAAACCCTTTTAAGTTTTTTTGTGGCGTGGGGACATTCAGAGACCCTCGTGTATTACACCTATACCTTAATCCTTCCATAATCACTTGGCTTCACACGCCACTGAGTGTGCAATGCGTGTGCTTGTTATCAATATCAGGAAACTGTTATTGCTATCTACTTCAGCCAAAAAAAGCTCATTTCTACCTTTATTTATAATTCTGTATTAATATTTATAAGTTTTAAGACCATACGTCAAACGTTTTAACTGCTTTTAGACTTTAAATTAATAAATAAAATCTCCTCAACGTTTTGACTGATAGCTATAAACTATGTTTTGTAAACCATATGTCATATCAAATATATCATAGGTATGTCATATCATTTATTATGCCCTATCAAATATGAAAGTATCAATTTTGGAAAACAACGTCTGAATTGTACATGTGGTAGCGGTGACCACAGATGAACGGACGCACCTGGAGAAACAACTGAGGGTATCCACTAATGTCACTGCAATTCCTATGACAGGGAGATCCTAATTTCGAGTCGCGACAGGGCAGGGTATTCGACACTAGCTTTTCAGCTAGGTCGAATCTAGTCGATCCGATCAACACCAACTAATCTCCGATCAACCCCAGGCGAATGCTGGAGAAGTACCCTTACAAATGGACCACGGACCGCGCGCAATATTTCCTACGTCTTCCTTGACCTATCCTCTCTCACACACACACACACACACTCACACACTGACTTGCATTACACTAACTTGTATTACACTATCACACATGCAGGGTGTCCGGTAGGTAGCTGAGAGCTTGTCTAGGCTGAAGCGGTACCTGGGAGATACCTGGTTGGGGAAAAAATTAGCCGACGGTAGGTCGGCGCCGGATCTTCTATTCTTATGAGGTAAACAAGAAATATTATCAAGTATATCCTCATATTATAATATATCCACTCTCGTCAACATCGAATATTTTCTGGGAAGACAAATCTACGAAGTTGTGTTTCTTCCGAGGAATGAGTAAACAGTCTCACGTAAGGACTTACTCGTTTCAGAGTTATAAGACGATATATTTTGGCTCATATGTTCCACAAGCAAGGGAACATAGGAGTTATTAGACGAACGAAATCGGACTGCCGAAGTTTGAAAATAAACCATCTAACAAAATGAAATACTATGGTTATGGTGATTTAAATTTAGTATTATGATAGAAACAGGGCGATAAGAGTTAAATAATTAATTGTAAATGTAGATTATTCAGTGTATTGGAAAGATTTGAATTGAATGTTTAACTGCGCCATCGTGCGTGTTTTTGTGTGATTTGTGTGATCAAGCCGTCTCATTTAATTTCATTGTTTCTTTCCGCTTCACCTCACAGCACACACATCTGTTCCGCGGCGCGGGGCTTCACCTCTCCACCTGTCACACCACACCTGGAGCGGCTATATAAGCGGCCGCGCCGCGCCAGTTGGCCAGAAGAGGTGGCAGCGCCGTCGTCGCCCTTTCTCTCGCCCTCCGCCGCCATGCGCGCTCTCCTGTTGCTGCTGCCCGCCCTGGCGGCCATCGCCGTCGCCCAGAAGAACCCGCACTGGGTGGGAGGCCACAACACCATCGTGCACCTCTTCGAGTGGAAGTTCTCTGACATTGCCGCCGAATGCGAGCGCTTCTTGGGCCCCATGGGATACGCCGGCGTCCAGGTGAGGGCGGCTTTCTCTCTCCTTGCCCAAACCCTCTACGATTCAACTGTTTTTTTAAGAATATAAGCTTTTAAACTCAAAACATGTGTTTTTCGATGTCAGAATTTTAAAATATGCTAAAATTAGTATATTATGGTCGTCATTTTGAAAGGAGGGAACTTTTTGATCTTCTCCTTTTCTATTTAAAACGTGAAAAGATGAGAGATAACTTTTCAGAGCTTTTCGAGAAACAGAAGTATTATCTTCGCCTCCAAGCACTGAAAGTGTTGGATTAGAAACAAGTATTTCTCCAGCAAAACAATAAAAAAGATATTATTTTGAGAACATTCTGATAACTTTGTGGAGGTTGCTCCCCCAAGAATTCAAAGACCAAAAAATTAAGAGATCGGTTTTAAATTTGCAGAGTCTAGAAGAGTCTAGAAGATGATCCACTTAGGAATTGGCATTTTGGGAAAAATTCAGGAAACATTGCTGGCGCTACTTTTAATTACAGACAGTCAATGGGCACACAGAAAATGTGAACAAAACACTTTTTTTGTTCTTAAAAATATATTTCCGACAAAATCTCAACATAGAATTCTGACAACAATACATAGCTTTGTCTATACTACGATATACCATTAAACAAGAAAGTAATGTGTGCAAATAATAAACTTCACATATTCGTTGACAGAGGTTAATATTTTTATCGCTTTTTAAATTCAAATCTGTAATTTATTCACGCTTTTTTTCTTTTAAATATTAAATACAATTTAAAAACAACTTCAACAAATGAACGACTATCACAGATCAAACCTAACAGAAAATTTGTTTCAAAAACTTTGTCATGTAATCGAAAGTAGTCTCACTGAGGTGAATAAAATTTGACATTTGAAATGAACGAAAATTATTAATACGATTCTGTTAAGGAGAATCTTAATGTTAGACGCATTATTACACCCTCAGTACAATGCCATTAAAAATATAAGCTGTGAAATAGTGTTTAAGTTTGCAATATGCTTTATTTTTATAGAAATTAAAGCGATCAAATTACTACTGAAGACGTCTTTAAGAATTCGAAAATTATCATATATCCGCGTAAATTAAAAATTAAATTAACCCCAAAAAGTAAAAAAAAAAATACACATTTGTTCATTTTGCTCCCAGATATCTGAATACTATTGCACATTTACCTTAATTCTTTCTTTTATGTTTCTAGACGTCGCCGGTGAACGAATACTTGTCCCTCCCCTACAACAATCCCTCCCATCCTTGGTGGGAGCGTTACCAACCAGTCTCGTACAACATCATCAGTCGATCTGGAAACGAAGATCAGTTCGCAGACATGGTCCGCCGTTGTAACAACGTCGGCGTCAGGTAAATACTTTTGGTTACAAACATAAATTACGTAATGTTAACTTCCATCCCGAGAAAGGCCATGAAAGTTATTCTAATTAAATGGAAGCAATTAAACCCACTTAATTATTTCCACTAATTATGACTTGACTTATGAAACGACACAGAAAATTCAAACAATCTATTTGGGATGTGATTGCATGAAACATACAGCTTTTGTTGGGAACATAAGATTTCATTAAGACGTCCTCTTGGAATAATTAAAGATCCGTTATTTCTTGAACCAGCGTGGTTTCTCCAATCATCCCCAGCCAAATGCCGGGGCAGTACCCCAACAAACGGGCCACGAACCGCGGGCGATCTTTCCTTCCTCTTCCTTTTCTTATCCTCAACACTTACTTACATCTATACTAACATGCTCTACCCTTCCACGCGTAACGGGAGGCAGGTGGAGAGCTTAATGCGTGTCCCAAATTGAGCGTTGGTGACAGTTACGTGGTTGAGGAAAATCCCCGTACGCAAACGTACGTCGGCGCAGGATCTCTCCAGCCAGCGTGGAAAAACCAATGCCCCCTTCATAGCTTCAAGCATTCATAGCATTTACGGTAATAATGACCTTAGCAGTTGACGCGTCCGAAATCACTTATCAAGCAATAAATCAACTAATCAATCAATCAATAAATCAATCAATCATTGGCACTAGCGACTCCTACTTACCGAGCCTAAAGGGAGAGCCAAGCATTTGGTGGCTTAGAGGTCACGGTTGCTTCATATGCTGAGCTCGTTTGACGCGACTGCCGGAAATGTGTTCGTATATCTACTGCCCCGTTCGGTGTCTTCACTAATCTATTGGCAGCGAACGTTCACAATGGGCCATGAATCATGCGATCGTCACTCCGAGTTCCTTTTTTCCCGTCCACGTGTGCCAATCTGGGCTAGGAACCGGAAGGGAAGTCCATAATTCCTTCACTTGCCCCTTAGCATAACTCGGCGGGGAATGAACCAACACAGTGCATCATATTGAATAAGGTTGATAATAATAATAATATAATATAATAATAACAATAATATAATAATAATAGTTGTTAATGTTATTGTTATTAAATTAAATACTATAACAACAATAAAGTTATTTGAACGATAATAAACTCACACCAATGAAATTTTAAGAACAAATATTCCTTCAAGATAGACATAATTAATATGAGATTTTTTAGTCTATGAACATTTATTCAAACTTCTTCTCAGAATCTACGTTGACGTCACATTCAATGATATGTGCGCCGCTGCATTTGGCAACGCCGTCGGTATTGGAGGCGATGTCCCTGATCCTTCGAACAAGAGATATCCTGCCGTGCCCTACGGGCCAGACAACTTTCACTCCACGTGCACTGTCAACAACTACTACAATGGGGACAATGTAAGTATAATAATCATTGGAAAGATTTTAATTTTATGACATCATTACTATCATTTACTTGAATGTATTGTTATTTTAATAACTCGCCCTTATAAACGAGCTTGGTTACCTTTTATATACGAGAAATTAACAAACTATTATTAAATAAAAAAAGTTTCAATTTTGAATAATGTGACCAATAGATGTATAGTATCTGCTCGACTGTCCGGGAGGCGCTGCGTCGTAGGCAGAGGTGCCAACCTCTCAGCCGCCATTGTGCGGCTTTCCTCAGAGCTTGTCCTGAAGAAGGTTGCAACGTTGGCTGCTGTGCCTAGGACGCTCCGCCTCTCGGGCAGCTAAGCGGCTACTGACACCGGTCGTGGAAGCATACGCTCTCAACAGAAATAAGTTGAAATATATGAAAGCTTATCATGAAACCTCCAAGTTAAAGGGTTATAGCAATCGCTTCTGTCTTCCGCTGACAGGTGCGCCAATGTGAGTTGGAAGGCCTCCGCGACTTGGACCAGTCTCAGCCGTACGTGCGACAGAAGATTGTGGAACACCTCAACCGCCTGGTTAGCCATGGCGTGGCTGGTTTCCGGTGAGTTTCCATAGTTCATAGCGTTTGATCAGTGGAGTTTAACTACTTTCAGTTCTACTTTTTCGTTTAGGTCACTTATTGTGGCATTAGCATTAATTAAAAATGTTATTAAGTGTCAAATTAGAAAACAGGTTATTTTTTAAACTCTTGTCATCTTTGTCTATCATTTGTGATGACTGATATATACAGTTCACTTTTAGTATAAATAGTTTCCTCACCTTGCTGCACACAAAAGCACAATGAAGTAATTCGTTTAAAAAGTTATTAAAAGAAGGATTTTACAACTCTGACTTAACTCCTTTTCATGCTATAGGATCCAGGTTTCAGATTCAGTTAATAATCCTCAGCACATGAATAATGTTTAATTGCAGGACCAAACTAATGCAATATATTTTTAAACTATCAATCGCATATGTTTCATGTTAACGTATTTACATAGCAAAAATGTCATAAATAATATTAAACATCACACAAAACGTTTAACTCCGGACGCACAGATGAATCTCTTACTGTTCAGTGTTGACGCTGCCAAGCACATGTATCCTTCGGACCTCCAGGCGATCTACGGCGCTGTCAACGACCTCAGCACCGAGTTCTTCCCCAGCGGCACCAGGCCCTTCTTCTACCAGGAGGTCATTGACATTAGTAAGAGAACTTGCATTTAGCCCGCTAAAATCATGCTATCCCGTTGGGTGTCTTGTAAGAGCATTATTACTAAGTGCAATCTTCTCCCTTCCAGCTGGCACTGAGGCTGTCAAGAGCTCTGAGTACACTGGCTTTGGTGTGGTGACTGAGTTCAAGTATGGCGCCAAGCTCAGCGACGCATTCTTGGGCAACAATCCCATTCACTGGTTGAAGAACTGGGGTAAGTTTCATTACGTATAATATCTGAATAACTACGAAAAATATTTTCACATGCGACTTTAAAAATATCAAATCTAAAATTACAACTTCTACGGCAAATGCTATCACAAATTATAAATAGGAAATAAAGGCAATTCTAAGAGGCATGCCATAAATAAATCAAAACATGCTCAGCTTTAAATCGTGCAAAAAATTATTAAAGAAACACAGGCAATTTTAAAGTACATGCCACCAAGTTTGGCTTTAAATATTTCTTTTATATTTTTGATTCATTAATTTTGGCATATTGATTGCATTATTTTACTTTTTTCAGTTACTCCCATAGCAAGTTATTTTATGTTATTTAATGTATATTTTGGAACTGTATTATTAAGACACTTAAAGAGAAAACTAAGATCTTGTTACAAAATACTAATTTCAAAAAAACTAGCTCCAAAAATGAAGTAATTGGCTATCATATAAGGGATTGAGTTTCAATATTACATATGATGATTAGATCAATAATATTGTTGAACCATTCTCAACAGCAATATTCCCACACTTTGAAGATGTGAGTTGTGTACCAATCTTGGTGGCAAGGAATATCTTCGAAAATACTACACGGAATAGAGGGTACTTGCGGCAAGTGCGCACTGCACTGTTTCGAGTTAAAATTTGACGTGCGACATAAATTTTCTGCAGGTACCGGGTGGGGCCTGCTGCCCAGCGACAGCGCCCTGGCCTTCATCGACAACCATGACAACCAGCGCAACAATGGCGGCGGCGGTGACATTCTGACCTACAAGAGGGCGAAGCTCTACAAGGTTCGTCCTGTCATGACTAGTTGGACAAACTCGCCACCAACTGCTTCTCATCGCCTAAACATTTTTCCTTCCAAAACATTTCCTAGCCTTTTATAAATAACGGGAGTAAATAGTTTTCGAGAGATAACTAACGTGGCATAAATGGAAGTGATGAATCAATTCAGCAGTCATAAATAAGAGTTGTTCATAATGAATAAATAAATAGTATGAGCTCCTCATTATGAGAAATGAGAGAGTAAACTTGGAATTTATACCAGATGACACGAATATGGGATCTCCTTTAGAGAACACATTCCGAAAATAAAGTCAGTGCTAACCTTATGCGTTCAAAACCTGAGTCTTAAAGCTTTTTTGTCCGCATAATCTTTGGATAGACAACCTTTGTCAGCTTATCTTTAAATAGCTGATCAATGCTTTTTTGCCTTCACTGTAGTTCGCAGCAGCCACAGAATCGGTAGATCAGTTTCCTCCTCTTAGTTTATTTATATTTTTATTTATTAATTTAATATATTTTTAATCTACTTTAATGATATTCTACCGTAATACTATTATACTTTTTTCATGTAAACTTTATTATTTAACAGATATTTAATTTACCCTCTTTATCAGTATTACACTTCACAAAGTTGTTATTCCAAGTATTGCTCCTCTTACAATTTTTATTCTATTAGTTATTTTCGTAATTCGTTTTTTCTTCTATTCAACTGTGCACAAATTCATTTTGTTCAAATCGGTCGAAAAATCTTTATGCCGAATTCCACGTATACGACAAAACCGTTCCTTTTATTCACTTTTACATAGTTTATTTCCGACATTTTATGTTTTTAGCGATGTATATTTAAAAGTAACAAATGTGAATTTGTAAATTTCTCGTCGAAAACCTCCATAATATATTTAATGGTCTCTTAATATTACCAATATTACAAATGCATCTCTTCAATTAATACAAGGACCCCGTTTTCTGCAGATGGCGATCTCCTTCATGTTGGCGTGGCCGTATGGTATCACCCGTGTCATGTCCAGCTACTATTTCGATAACAACAACGCCGGTCCTCCTTCTGACGGCAACGGCAACATTCTGGACGTTTCCATCAACAGTGACAACACTTGCGGCAACGGTTGGGTTTGCGAACACCGCTGGAGCCAGATCTACAACATGGTTGGCTTTAGGAACACCGTGGAGGGTGAGTAGGTAATACATTTCCTGATGTTAGGAAGTGTGTCTTTTTCTTCTCGTAAGGTACAATAAGGTGAAGGTGCCAAGCCATTTGCCGACGGGCTTCTTACTATAAGAAAACTTGTGGGTGATCTGGGCTGTCCGGGTGACGCCGCGTCGAAGGCTGAGTTGCCGACGTTTCGACCATCCTGTCGTGGTCTTCCTCAGGGCTGGTATGCCAAGCTGCATGCGCATACCAACCCTGAGGAAGACCACGACAGGATGGTCGAAACGTCGGCAACTCAGCCTTTGACGCGGCGTCACCCGGACAGCCCAGATCACCCACATGACTCTGGCCGCGGAAGCCTACGACTATAAGAAAACTTGTTTGAATGGATTTATTTGTGGCTGTGGTGCAGGTGGAAATGGCATTCGCCGCTTAAAGTGTTGAAGCGAGGAAAATGATGGTTTCTATAACAGAGGAGTTCGATCTGCATCGGCAGAGTATGCACCATTTTACGTCCATACTTAGTTTTTTCCGGTAATAAGCATTTGGTAGTTGTTGAGTGGTCGATTTGGTAGTTGTTGAGTGAATCACAAGATGTTTTTCCACATTTTTATTCCCATTCCGTGGGCTACGTGTTTGCTTAAAAAAGGGTTTCCCTTCATTCTTGGAACGAATTTAAATAATGACTGCATGCTAGATTGCACAGTTTATATAATTATTATTTATTGTGTTGAAACACAATCAACTAAATATAACTATAAATCATAAAAGTTATGTAATCAATGTTAAAAATTAATAAATTATACGATTGATCAAACAAGTAGTTAAAATTACGATAAATTATGAAAACTCAATTTATTTGTGTGAATACCTTATTCGTGTTACAATAAAACATTATAACTAAAACACTGTATAAATATTTGTACTATAGTATATTAATGCCGATACTACAATCTGCAGATTCTCCAGGAATATTTGAATCAATTTCGTACAGTATTTACTACTAATATTATCAAGCGTAGTTTACCGTCTTTTCAAAGCATATGAATACAAATTTTTGCGTACGTTTTTAATGTCTTCCAGGTGCGGTTTAGGACTCATCTTTCTTAACAAATGGTCACACAGACGGGAAGAAACGTTTCTAAAAAAATCCTTTTTGTGTATCCTAGCTTTTTACAATATATGTTCCAATCAAAATCTCGAGGTAGATGCTTTGCAGCATTACATAACTATCTTTACTATATTTGTCCCAAACTTGAAGGAAAAGAAAATTATTTTTATAGATAATTAAGAAAAAATCAAGATTTTTTTCAGAAGGGAAAAATAAACATTTTGTTCACTCGTTTCTAAACTTATCTGAACCATATATGTATTGCGTTTTTTGCTCCTGTAGCAGTGTCATTGTTTTCCCTATGTAGGCACCAGCGTGACCAACTGGTGGGACAATGGCAACCAACAGATTGCCTTCGGCCGTGGTAATGCTGGCTTCGTTGCCTTCAACGACCAATACAACACCGACTTCAAGCAGACCCTTCAGGTAAACGTCTTGTTAATTATGAATTCAACATTAAAATTTCCAATATTATCCCTATCCAAAATGCAATTACGAGTACAAACGTATGTCACGTTGTAGCCCCATGCGTATTCTAGTTCAGTAACTCTCTTGCGTTTACTGACGAAATTATAAAAGTAATTTCTATAATAATTTCGAAGATTTAATTGCTCACAGTTCATTGTTCTGTTTTGGAATGGTATTTCAAAAACAAAGCAAAGAAATTATTTTCTCCTAGCTCTCCTGAGATATTTAAACAGTGTGCATAATAATCGTCAAATTACTGTCCAAAATAAAAACGTTTTACTGTACAGCCGAGAAAATAGCATAAATGAAATTACCGGAATAAAAAGCTTAACATTGGTAACTGTGCATTGTTGTCTAGGCTATCCGGGACGAGCCGTGTCACTGACATGGTGGCTAACGTTTAGGCCAGCGCATTGTGGCCTTCTTCAGAGCGTACTGCTGGCCTTCTTCAGAGCGTACTACAGCAGTACGCTCTGAAGAAGGCCACAACACGCTGTCCGAAACGTTAGCCACCATGACAGTGATGTGGCTCGTCCCGGATAGCCGAGATAACATAAACTCCAGCCGCGAAACCAACGCAACCCCAACTGTGCATAACATTGTAGCCATGCATTGTCGATGCAAGTAATTTGTTGTGTAAGCGTATGCTGCTCGTTGCAGACCGGCCTGCCCCAGGGCACCTACTGCGACCTCATCTCGGGCTCCAAGAGCAACGGCCGCTGCACGGGCAAGAGCGTGACGGTGAACGGCGACGGAACGGCCTACATCGAGATCCTGTCCTCCGAGAACGACGGTGCCCTCGCCATCTCCAGAGACGTAAGGCCACTTTCTTAGCCACCTCCCTCACTTTATCTCTTCTTTATCTTTATCCCTATCTTTATCTTTTACTTTATCTCTTCGCCAAACGGAGCGCTTACAATTATTCATTTTGTGAATTTGTCGTTCTTGAAAGAAGTGGTGATTAATAGTTGGTTCTTCCATTCCAGTCCAAGCTGTAATGAAACATCATTACCGGTGACTCAAGAAACTACATGAATGGCAAAACGGCTGTAATTACAACTCATTCCACCTTCAAATAAATCAGCTCTTTTGTCAAAAATGTATTTTTTAATACGTCATAATTTTTCCCTCCTCTCTTCGTAAACCTAGTTTTGCTCTCTTTTCTTCCTAATCCTTATCGTTTGGAATCATCATTTAACTATTACTTTGTTCAACGAATGTAGAGCTTCAATGTGAGATCTTGGTCTTTCGGGGAGATGATAGGCTTTAAATAAATAAATTGAGTTCTTTCTTGTTTCATATTGGAATAAACTGTGCGAAATTATCAAGTTTTCTTTCAATCTAGAAAGAAAATAATCAAATAATGAATAAGCCACCAGCATGACACTTGTAGGGCATTTTTCATGCAACTTGACTTATTACTACCTACGTGCTTTATCATTTACTAATAAGTATTTTTTATAAACTATTGATGTTAAAAAGCACATTTCTCACCCGTATTTTTACGCAACATTCGTGGAAAAATACTCAATTTTCGAAGAATTGCAGTTGACCTTATTTCAAAATCTATTTTTAAGGAAAAGATTTCATTTAGATAAAATCTATATATTCATAATTGTAATTGTAGCAAGGTGGCAGAAATATTTGAATTTTTTTATTTTAGAAAAATTGAGGTTTTTAACGCATATGAGACACAGGCCATTCTCTTAAACGTCCTTCAAACTATCCAACAAAAAAGGCGAGAAAATACAAATAACCAAAATCGATAGAATCATGTTTTTACTTTGAGATATGTCCTCGTGGCTGTGTGTAAAGTACCGTCAAAAATTAAAATATCGGTTCCAAATTGAAGGAGCTGATACATCAGGAAATGTTCTTTAAAATTGATATTACACAATTTATCTGGCGGAACTGCAATGATGCTACGCATGATATTACGTAATGGATCTGGCGCAAATTAGCTGCTAGCGTTGTTTACAATTTCACAGACAGAAGAACAGACAGACGTTTTGTCTTCATTTTATTTTTCAGAGTCAAGGACACAAAATATGGATTGTATTTTTACTTTGCCCCGTAGTTCCACTTTGACATACTTTTCCCTACCATCCGTACTATACTTTAAACTTACATTGAATAAATTTCTTGGAAGAAAAAGTGTCTTATAAGAAGCAAAAACTAAAAAAAACTTTATTGTGGCCGGACTGGTTTTTGCCAAATTGAACAGTCGTATTTCTTTTATTACCCTCGCAAATGCTGCTTCTTAAAATCATAGCGGCAAGGGGAAAGCGAGACTATTTGAGCGCATACTCGTAAATGACAGCTCTATAAGGGCACTCTAAAAGAAACAATATTACATGACTTTTTTATTTCACACTTTATCCATACTTTATCCATAGAAAAACTCGTACATCATTCTCATTTAGTACTCAGAGAAAATATACTTCGTGTATATGCTAATTTAATAAAAAACAAAAAATACTATTAATAATTTATTATACATACGATTATATAGCAAAATTATATTTGCAACGTACGTTCATTACGCATTTCAATATCTATCTTTAATTTTGTAGATGTAGGTAGACATCGGAAATAATTTACACTGTTAAAACTTTCAAAAATTCAGAGTTAAACCTGAAAATCGGATCTATGCCTCCTTTATAACTGTATTCTATTCTATTCTTATGAGAAATTTAAAGAAACAATTTGGAGCATTTTTTACGTAATTTTGAGAATGTCCGAAGGGCTTTATATGAAGAACCCACAATTTTAAAGTATGTTTTTCAAAATCTCAAATCTTCAACTAGAGCCAGATGGACAAGTGTTTCTTCAATTTGGAAAAGATATTACGTATGGTTTAAACGCTAGTAGGCAGATATTATTCTTTACACATATAAACAACATTAAATAATGTTATTTTACCCATGGTATCAGTATAATGCCAATTCTCTGTGCAAAGGCGTTGGAAGCAAGGATGAGTCTAACTGATATTCGCTAATTGCTTCAAAACACAACCTACTCAGACTTGGGAAAAAGTCAAGAACATAAGCTTTCTTTCTTTCAAAAGAAAAGAAAACTGCCATATCGTTAACAATGCAGACCAAATCTAAGGTGTCCTCAGGCGTGACTCCCGCCAATCTCACGCGCTCCCATCTGTTCCTCGCGAAGGAATATTTCATTCCGATCTCGTAGGCATTATCTTCCCCTAAATCAAAACGTATGGAGCTGCGCTTCTCCCGAAGAAGAATATACAATTTTTCTTGGAGAATGAAAGGGATCCACTGTTTGAACTCTGGTGCAGGGTCGAAGGTATTCAGCTTCTCCCACGTGTTGGTCGCCAAATCAAAGTACATCATAACGTAATCCTCACATATCTCACCCGTCTCCTCAATCAACAGCATGTACAGGCGGTTTTTAAGTGGGAGAAGGCATTCTGCCCGGAAGACCCAGCCATCTCCTTTCCACGAGCCTACGATCGTCCATCGCAAAATGCTCAAATCCAAGGCCCAAAGAGAGGACCCCCAAAATAAATCAACGTTGCACACATACACGTGTCCCTTGTATTCGCAAGCACGCACCCTCCAATAGCCAACCCCTGAAGGCACGTCCCCACTCGTTCTCACGCAGCTCCAGCGTGAACGCCGAGTGTCCAAGACGATCACGTGCTCGCTTAAGTCTTCACGCCCTCCAACGCACACGAACACTCTTTCCTCAGAGGCTACGGCGAAGTGGAGGACTGTCTCCTCGCCCTCAGGGGCTGAGACGTCCTCAGTGCTCCCATCCCGTCCTCGGTGTTCGAGGAGCTGGGCGGCTCTCCAGGAGAAGGTCGCCGGACTGAAAGCGAGGACCTGCATGGTGTCCTTATCGCCGGATTTGTTGTAGCCGAACAAGTAGACCTGGTCGTCGACAGCAACCGCCCCTATGCCTCTTATCAAGGACAAATCATTCGGAATGTCGCTCACGAATTGCGCCCATGCCATCTTTTTTCTTGGCAAAATCTTGGTGTTCCTAGAAAGAACGGATTATATTCACAGTTTAACTTTACGATTTTAAGAATGAAAGAGGGAACATCATTTATTTATACTTTACTGTATTATTACTATTTAGAATAAGTTTTTTCGGTTGTAAACAAAGTATTTCATGACACGAAACAATCATTAAATATATACAATCATTAAATGTACACACTATTTTTTTACTGAAATAAGTTCTCGAAATGAAACGCATCTAAATGAAATGAAACAGGTTCTCGGAAAGTTGCACATAACAATATTTAGAAATACATTCTGTGTGTCATGTGACTTTAATTTTTTTTATTGTTTAAGCTAATTGAATCTAACTATTTTACTACAGGTTATATGTTTGACCACTTGCCAAATGTTATGGTTTATAATATCTGTTTATAAAAAAGTTATAAATTTTTAACTTTATTTATACATTTTTATTATTTAGTGTTGCGCCTGATAAAGCAGACAAATTCGTCCGATTGTGTCATTTAATAAACAAATATTTTAAATTTAGTGTTTATAATAAACAGATATCATGAATCATAACAAATATTATACTACATTCAAATAGTGAAACAGTATATCATAAATTTTAAGTCTGTTTATCCAGGCTTAGATCCACGGGAAGGGATATGGGGGAAATTTTTCCTCCTAAAATTTTTCAGTTACTATTAATTTTAACTTGTCTGGAAAATTTCAAACAAAAATATTTTCGGTTAATCATAAAAAAGAATAAAATCGTATTGCGTAACAAGCTAGTGTAGCTTATGACATATTACAAAATCTCTAATTTGACGCCATCAATCAAAACATTTTGAGTTTCCTCTCCCAAAATTCGTCTCTGGATTCACTCCTGGTTTATCAATTAAGAACTCGATTTTTACGTTCTCAAAGAGCGAGTATTGTAATCGTGCGTCGGAAAACAGCGAATTAGGGTAACAAAAACTCTTTATTGCCAGTCCTTGTAAGGAAAAAGTGGATGAATTCAGTTCCTAGATATACAAAAAAATCTAAAACGTGATGTATCCAGAATCCATGTTTTGTGGGTCCTTGATACCAAAATATCGATTGACAGCAATACGTCTGTCTGTCCGTCCGTCTGGCACAAAGCTAGGGCATAAACCGTTCAACCGATTTTCTCCAAAATTGATATTCCCCATTTGTTCTAGCTGATGTTGCGGCATCAGTTCCACAAAATTAGCTACTTAAAAAAGGTCATGTATATTTTATTTGAAAAACGAGTAAATTTTTCTCAAAAACCACTCCCAATTCTTTCTTTACATTTTCTTCACTTATGTTGAAGAGACGGTAAAAGATATGGAGCTAGTCCCATTCTCGGTTATCGCTCGATTTTCTTAGAAAACTTCAAAAACAATTTAAAACTACAAAATTGAAGATAGAAATTTTTGCCCCAGGCAAAGTATGTTGTACAAAATTAGCTCTGCTATGTACATGCTCTGCTGCATATTTAGCGATCGAAATTTACAACAACAAAAATCTCAAAATTCGTTTCAAATTTTGTCGTTAAATTTGGCAACACAGGCACGTTTTCTAGTAATACCTGAGGTGTTAGTAGCGCATAAAATGCAACATTTCAATATCACGTAGCTGTTTCCAATAACGCGAGAAAGTACGTGCTGCTCTAGCACCACTAGTTATGATTAGCAGAAAAGTAGACATGATTTACCTTTGACTTCTAGCCTGCCGCCTGAACCGCAAACGTCCAGTGTAGAAGAGAAAATATGAACCTCTCTTCTGTTCCAGGCACTTGCGTCCGCATTATCTTCATTGTGAAGGCTTTCACGCACTGAAACTGCGTGATAAGGCCTATCATCTGTATATCGCCCACGCTATCTCCCTCTTTGAGACGTTAAGTGTTCAAATGAAAACGGATTAAATTAAATATCTAAATCTATATCTAAAATTGAGAAAAAACTGTTTTTATGCAGAAATAATTAAAATCACCGCCGTCAATTTAATATGTTTATTTAGAGAGCCGGCTTTTGACGGCGTTGCCCTGATCAGCAGTCTACAAATATCAACAAAAT